TCAATCCCTGTCATGGTAGTTTGAATGATGTAGCCATGATGGTCCTGGCAGCGTGAGGAGCAAGGATTTGAGGGGTAATATATTTTAATGGACCAACTGTATACTTGGAATAAAATTAGACAAGCTTTCAAATGCAAGCCATTCTTAGGGGTTGCTGGTGTATTTACTGCTTTTTTTTAACTGCAAAACAGGATTTTTCCAGTGGATTAACTTTCCTGGCAATAATGTTAATAACACTTGTGCATTCACCATGTTACCCCAACTGGCACTAATAACTTATGTATTGGAGAATTTGATCTCATCACGTCGTTAAAATATCACAAGTTTTAGTCAAAATGGACTGTGACACAGTTATACCTGTCAGCAAAGGACGGGTGAGTAATCAGTGAGATGAAAGGATAATGTCTGAGCAGTAAATTAGCACTGTCCAAATTGTTCATTCAAGGCCTAGATACCATTTAAGTTCTATTTTGGGGGCTTCTGTGGCTTTATCTTCACCCTCTGCCCAAGGATGAATTCCAACCCTAAAAGTGACTCCTTTGCCATTGGGGAGGAATCTGCACAGGAACAGGGTTCTATATTCTCATACTACATACACAATTATTTATGTCCAGTTTATTTGTCTTGGGGATCTTGTTGCTTCATGCCTTAATATTAATGATGGAGTACAGAAAGAAATCAGTGTGACAGACTTCCACAGCTTTGATCATTAACTCTGACATTCTGAAAAACTCATAATAGATAACAGAACTTTGTCATTTACATTAGGCTGTGAACAGCATAACTCTTCATCTCAGCTTTTTTTCATCATGCCAAGTCTACCATTTCCTGATCCAGTTCTTAATAATTCTGATTAGAATATCCACTCTTGCAGGAAAATTAATCTAAATATTGCAAATTGTTGATCCCAGAATATTTCAAAGTTAATCAAAATGGTAGATTCCTTCATTCTCTGACATAAGGCCAAATTCTATTTTAACTTTCTGTGCCTCAGTAGTACTTACAGCCACATAAGTGCAATTTTTGGCACTTACAGACTTTAGATTTTGTTTCTTCTTACATAACAGCATTCACCCTGTACCTCAGGCTCAGAAGATTCACTGTGACTGCCTATGGCAAAATAGAAGTAAAATTGAATTTTGCCTATGGCAAAATCTTGGCTAAGGTAAAATAGAATCACCAGGGTACACATATTACTGCATGGAAATCCTTGCAACTTTAGCTGAAGAAAAACCAAAGCAAGTGACTTGTGACATTGCCCAAAGCACTTGATTATGGGAGTGCTTAGCTGAGAAATGGGAGATGCAGGTTTCCCCGCTCTCTGAGTGAGAGGGGTTAGAACCCCAGTCTTCCTCCACCTGGGCAATTTCCTTAGCACTAGACAACTGAGCTAAAAGGCAGAGGATCTGCCTCCTCCTCCACCCTGTCCCTTCAGGTACTTATACATTTACCTGGGTGATCCTGGTCTGCTACAAGTAGAGACAGGACTTGGCCCTTGGTACTTTGGACTAGGACAGTGCTATTCAACTTCCAGGCAGCCAGGTACTGCAGAGCTATGGGCTACGTGCCAGAGAGGCCACGTGCAGTGTGGATGAGCAGGTAGGTGCCCCCTCAGATCCCTCCCACTACATGGGCTGCCCAGCATGCCCCACAGTATAAGCAGCCTTGCTCCCTACTCACCCACCTATGTTCACCATGTGGGCATGCACCCCCTGCAGCACCTGCAACCCCACTGACCCCTGCCACACACACCATCCAACTGAAGTACAGGCAGCCCAGCTACCTTCTTTGCTTAGGTCAGGCATTCCTGCTTCCTCCCAGGCACTGGGGCAGAAGCAAGTAGGGGGAAGTGGGGAGTGGCAGCCAGGCAGGAGCCCACAGACCACATGCTAACCCACTGTGGGGATGTGCAACCCTTGGGTCATCAATTGGATAGCCCTGATCCAGAATATTCTCCATAACGTGATGATGAAAATATAACAGATAAAGTCATTGTTGCTCTCAGTAGGTTTATATAATTGTTCAACATGAGAGGACACAGGATGAGCTGTGTATGCATTTTTTTTGTGCTATATTCAACCAATCCTGAAACATACTCCATATAAACAAAGTTATAGCCAGGATGATGCCAGGTGAGAAAAGAATAAGGATTATTGATCTCAGATCTTTGTTAATGTAGCTCAGGGGCACTCCACTAAAGTAAGTGATGAATGGTTGACTTATGCTAGCCAAAGATTTAATAGCTGCAGTGGGAGTCAATGGACCACTAGGAATGTGGGATAGGGCTGCTCTCTCTCTCTCTCATGCTGTTCTAATTATCTCACAGGAAAATGGTGCAGTCAAAATTCTGTTTAAGTTCCATGCACTTAAAAAGGTACAAAGATTAAGTCACACTGTTAGTGCAATCTAAACAGTTTTACCAGCTTCTTACAAAAGGACAGGCCGTTTTTGATCTAGTCCTAAGTAGTGAATGAGATTTGATGCAAAGGGTGGGTGTTATATTGACCACAATGCAATTGGGTTTGACATCCATATTAAAAAAGGAGACAAGAAGAAAAGCTACTACAGTAGCCTTTAGCTTTAAAAGGCTATACCAAATCTTACACAAAAATGAGGTAGCTAATTAGACAGAAGTTAAAAGGGCCCCCTAAGAAGTTGAAGAATTTGGGGGTCACAAAATGAAACTAGTAGGTAGTAAGTTTAAAACTAATAAAAGGAAATTCTTTTTCAAACTGTGGAACTCCCTTCCATCAGATGTTGTGGAAGCTGACGGTTTCGCTTCCCCAAGGGATTGGCCAAATTCTGGGAAGAAAGGTGCATCAAGAGCAAATGAACATGGGAGTTAGGAATAAAGCCTCTAAATCAAAACTTCCTAGACCTTAAATGCTGGAGGCTGTGAGAGAGGAACAGTGGGAAAAAACCCTGGCCACATCCAGTTCACTCCTTTTCATCATCCACTCTCTGCCACTGTATAAGAGGATATGGGCAAGATGGACAGTCTGGCCCAGTACATGGCAATTCTCTTGTTCTTATGTACTTAAAGTACAAAATTAAGTCACACCATTAGTGATTTAGTGAATTAGCAGAATACTTTTCATAGCAGGAAGCTGAACCAAAGTATATCCTTTTAGTGGATATTTTTAGATAGGCATCCATTAACTTTGAGGCATTAAGCTTTTCGCCTCCCCACGGTTTTCCAGATAATTGATTTAAAAGACTAATAATAGGATAAAAAGACTTTCACTTCTATATATAGCCTGCTTCTGGTAAGCAACCCCAGTATTATCAGATACATTTCTTGATGACCTCTGATATAACAGTCCTGGACTTGGTGCATAATTGTCCACCTCATTGGCACCCAGGTGTCAGAAAAATCTATGACTGAGTAAGCAGGAACAACAAACTTCTCTCTCACTACAAGAAAGGTGCTCAAAGATTATGTATGAGACATATTTGTAGTGCTATGTACAAAAAAAGCCTGCTTTTTTCTGTCAATTATTAGTAGGTATTGGTCTCTAGCACTGTCAATCCTGTTTCTTTCACAGGCACTATATTCACTTGAGTTTCTATTAAAACAGAGCTACAAAAATCAGCACAATAAACTTTGTTTCTAAATCTGTAGTTGCACTCTCTCTCTCACTGCTTTTTAGTTTGTAATACCATTAGGGAAATTTTCAGAGTAAGTAACCTGCAAGATAGTATTGTAAAGAAAAAAATTCTAACAATTACTTAGCTATTCTGAAGAAAAATATTCTTTTCCTTGAAAAGTTCATGTGAAATTCAAAAACAGATTAATGGTAGTTCTCTACCACCTGAATCCAGAATTGGTCCCTGTATGTATTGTTTGTAATTATGTAATCCAAAAGTTAAATATTGAGACACTTATTTTGAATGCTATAGGGTTTTATTGTTACAGTTGGTAATTAGGTATATTTTCAGTGTCATCTGCAGTTGCACTATGTTGATAGTTTCATATATTCATAGAAGTCAGGGGCTGGAAGGGACCTCACAAGAACATCAGGTCCAGCCCACCTGCTCTAAAAGTTGATTTATCCTTCAGTTTCTTTTCCTCCTCCTTTGTTGCTATAAAAGTAAGCTCTTGGGTTAAAACAATATGTTCTTTTCTAATATATTAAAAATACTGTAAAAATAAAGAAGATTATTAAAAATAATAATGTGGTGAAACAAAATCCTCTCTTTTCAGAATGTCATATCTTCCCCTTCCTTTTTCTCTGTGTTGTTTCTCTTTGTTTTGGGTTTTTTTTCCCCTGATTAGGGAAAGATTCCAGTCACTTGAATACTGTAAATAAAGAGTATGGGATCAGAGTTTTATGCCTTTTGACTAGCTGACTGTCTAGGGTACTAGAAATTGTAACTTAAACAATGCATAACGTTTCAAAAGCACCCAGGTCATTGACTTTCAATAGCACTTAAGCCCCATATGGTACGGTTATGTGACACAAGGCAGCATCATGCTGAGACAAGCTCTATGTCCGCTAACCCCCCAAACTGGAAGCTATAGAGCCACATTTGCACACCACTGTATATTGGGCCAGGGAGTTCTGCTGAAGCCCTTACATAGTTCAAGCCGTCTGATTCATGGCTAGTGCATGCAGAGCTGGTACATGCAGAGCTGGTACAGCATCTCTCAGCACAGCAGTACTTTGCACGGCATAAACATAGTATAAGTGATTTAGGAGTGTTTAGAATTCTTTACTGAATACCAGTTACAAACAGAAATCAACCTGTGGCACATGCAGTCAAAGATCTTTAGTTGTGAGTATGACAACATCTACAGATTTGTTTAGAGAGAAATTCATGTTGAGCCCTCAAATGTCTGAAGCTCTGAAATATGCTGAAGAATCTGAGAGATCAGTTTTAGCATTTTTCAATTTATTTGAAAAATGTGTGTAAATTTATTTTAAAACGGGAAAGAAAAATCTTTCTAGACAGACTCTTGGAAAATAAAACTGGGTTTCTCCTTTGTGCTTATTTTACAGCGCCTTTAAAGCATGCCACCCCAAAATTAAGAGCTTCTACTTTGCGACGGACTGTCTTGAAGAAATGAATAGGTAAGTTATATTTATGTTCTTTATTCTCCCACTATATTATTTTACTGGCATTTGCAAAGTAGCACCATGTGTGGGAAATATTATTGTATCTATTTCTGGACTGCAAATCTCACTGTTGGGAGAGCATTGTCATCTTTTTTCTCTTTTCGTAAAATGATGAAAAAATCCCTATCAGATGTTCAGGGACTTTCATTCTCTTTGCTTCTTCCTAAGACGACACTGGTAGTAGACACTTCTGTTGCCTACAATATGTTACATCAGTGAGGGCTCTTGATAATAGATAAAGGCCAGGATGGCAAATGTTGCAGAATGACTTGGGTAAAGTACCTGGAGCTATATAGCCACGTTAGCACAGTCTTCCACCAGAGCTAGTTAGCCTTACCAGGTGTTACATCAATCATGCCATGGGTTTTTTTCTCTGCCCCAGAAACATCATGTCCTGTGCACAGCTACAAGTGCAAAAGACAGGCTGTCAATAGGGGTAAGAAGTGTCACACCAGCTTACACTACTGCTTCTGATCCAACAGGGGAGTTCTCTGAACTCAACACTGGTCAGCAGCTTAACTGACTCCCCTACCCTTTGCCCTTCAGCACCCAGAGCTGCGTAAGAGAGGTGGTGGGAGAGTGGAAATCTTTGTCTCACAGAGAGTTAGACAAGCTTGCGATTCCTCTTTTCTGGTACTGGACAGAGCAAGGGAAATTCCTCCCCTGAGCCAAGGAGGCCTCTCAGCCTTGGGCAAAGAACACAGCGGGTTCTCCAGAGCAGAACCAGGTGCTCTGAGCAATCTCTCCACCAGAGAGTCAGGCCTTTTGGGAATTCCCTTTCCCCATGCTGGGAAAAGCACAGATTGGTGGGAAAAACCTTCCCTTGTGCCCAGCAAGAGTCTTGTCAGGGAAATCCTTCCCTAGTGCTGAGCAAACCACAGGGCATGGAGGGGGAAGGAATTGGGAATTAGCCCCTGGCATGAAGACAAGTGCATGGCCAGGGACTGAGGATTCCTCCCCTTTCCCCAAGCTAAGCAAAGTCTGTGCTTGTTGCTGGTACATGTTGTAGCGCTTGAGTCCTCTCTTGACTGGTGCCCTACCCCCAGGTGACATCAGGGTGGGACCCCGAATTGTCACCACCTGGGTGTTCTGGTCACTGTTCCGTTCTGGCTGCCACAACTTGAGAACTGTGTCCCAAGAAGAATGTCAACAGGTGGCTTGTGGGATCCCACACCTTGGTTTCTTCGTGGGGCTTCAACCTCCCCTTTACCCCACCCTTACCACATCCAGTGCCAGAACGGACGTTGGGGTCTTGAGGTCTCTATTACAGTTGATCACTTCTCATCCAACAGCCCTACTGTTGAGGGGATGAATGATCCCCTGGCTGCCAGCATCTCTTAGGCCATCCCTTGGCTATGGACTGAGGCCACTGCAACTGAACTCACCTCAATTTTGAGGTTCTAGTGTTCTCATAAAGAAAAACCCAAAAGCAAACATCAATGAAAATAAATCAGCAACTGCTGGTGTGGACTCCGGGTTGTGCTTCCTCAGGCCCACTGACCCCTGCCGGGGTGCCTCTTATCTCCCCCATACTGCGCTGTGTTCTATGGGCTCAGCAGCTCCCCACTGTGGTCTCACAGCATTAATATGGGCCCTCTGTAGGGTCACCACTCCTTCCCACCACGGCCCCATCTGACCTGAAGCAGGATCTGGCCTGGTTGTTCCTGTTGTCACTCCAGCTGCCTGTCTCGGCAGCCATGTTCTGCTCCCTGTTGTGTGCTGGCCCCTTCTAGCTGTGGCCCCAGGGCTCTGTACCGCTGACCACTCTGCTGCCTGCCTTGGCCCCAAATTTCTGCCCCTCCGCAGAGATCCCCTGATGGCATGGCTCTCCAGCAACACACAGCCTGCTCCTTGTGGCCACACACCACTTCTCCATTGGGCTCAGCCGTGCTCCATGGCCCCCTTCTTAGCAGTACTTCAGTGAGTGCCTCAGCTGTGGCACACAGCCCACTCCTGCCAGCCTCAATACCACGCTCCATTTCCCCACTGTGCTCAGTGCTATTCCACGGACCTCCTCCAGGGTTTCTCCTGGGTGTGCCTCTGCCTTGGCACACAGCTGGCTCCTCCCACCCTTTGGACCACGCTCAGCTGCCCTGCTCGGCAGTATCCCGTGGCATCTCTGCACTGTCCAGCTCTGTCCTCCGCTCCTCCCTCGGTTGCTCTCCCAGCCACCTTTTCATGGGCCCCCTTTTCTCCCAGGCCACATCCTTCCCCTCTGCTAATTCATAGGCTCAGGCTGCTCTGAACCCAGCATGCCTGAGCCTCTCCCGGCATCCACCCACAGCTGTCACTCATCAGCCTGCCTATGGTAAGTAATGGGGAAAGCCTGGGTGGGCTGTCTCTTCCTCTTTTACCATATTGTTTTCAAAAGACCGAAGAGTCAAGCTTATAAAACAAACAAAATTGTTTATTCAGAGAGCTGTGTCTGACCTACTGTTCTGCTGCTGCTTTTTGTTCCATCCTGACATCCCCAACAAATAACAGCTTACACATAACACTCTTAAAGGTATCCACACATCTTCCCCATTTACATGCAACTTGTCCCCATGTATCACAGGCTGGGGTCCTTAAGGATGGCCATGATGTCCCCAAGGCCCCTTTACCATGCCAAGTTGGCCCAATGGGCACCATCTGTTCTCACCCGCCACATCTTTGATGGAGTGATTAATAGGAAGGCTGCCTTTAAGTCCTCTTGGACACGGTTTTGATTGGTTCTCTGGACCCCATGGGTTCCTGGACCCCTGGTGCATCCCATCTTCAAAATAGATGTCACAATGGGTGTTTTGGAGCACCCTAGCCTTATGGGCTATGCTTGGGTCCAACCACCCCTTTACCACACCCCCAGCCTCACAGGCGGTACTGACATTGTCTGGTCTAGGCCTTGTTGTAATTTGGCCCCCTTGTCCTCCCTGGGCTCTCTGAAGCTCTGTCTCGCTCTGTGCCTCACTGGCACTGGGGTCTGTGCACCCCAAATGCCGTGCCCTCTCTGGCACCAGGGTCTCCATTCTGATGTGGGCCCTGAGTGATGCCTCCTCCTTCCCCTAATAGCCTCACCGAAACCACCAGTCTTATACAACAGCAAACAAAACACAAGCCCCTGGGCTGTAACATAAATTCAAGCCGCCTGTCTATAATATCAATCAAGCCACACCGGGGTACTCCGTCCCTCAACAGTATCAGGACCTGTACCTGCAGTTAGGCCTCTCCCCTTTACTTGCTCTGGGAGAGCTCCTTCTCCCTTGGCTGCTGGCAAACAACTGCCCTCCTGGCCTCAGCCCTGGGATTTATATATGGGCCAGGCCCTACCCTTTCCGGTCAGCTGACCGCTGGCAGGTGTGGGCCACTAACTCATTCTGGCTGCCCTGATAACCAGCAGCTGGGGCTTCCAACTCACTGCTAGGGCTCTTCCCCAGCAGTTCCAGCTCTTTAAAGGAGCAGGGCACCTTAGTGCCCTGCAACACCATGTAATACTAACATTGCAAGTTTAGTTCATCCCGTAGTTCAAGCACATTTAAACAGGTCTCTGTTTAGTCTTTGTGTTGGCTTTTTGGCTCTAAGTGATCTTCTTAGTTTCTCTGCATTCTCAATCCTTATTGGTTACATATTATATGAATGTTGCCCTGTAATTTAAATGACAGGGAAACATCAGTGTGTGAATCTGTAGCTTTTTTCAGCAATTTCTTCACGGTTTGTACTCCATTTTCCACAAAACTGTTGGATTGTGGATATTTAGGACCTGAGGTCTTGTGATGGAATCCATATTTTTTTGCAAAATCTTTAAACTCAAGACAGTTGAACTGAGATTTGTTGTCTGTTCTCACAATTTGCAGAATCCCATGTCTAACAAAAATCGATTTGATGTGAGTTATGACATGGTTTGCTGTGGTGCTTTCAAACGATGCAATTTTAGGACAGTGAGAATAATAATCCAGAATTAATACATAATTTTCCCTGCATGTATGAATAGGTCAGTGCCCACTTTATACCACGGAGCTACGGGCTCCTCCATGCCCATCATGGGCTCTTTCCTTTGCACTGCTCTGTACTTTAGGCACTTTGTGAAAGCCTTTACAGCATCTTTTATGTCATTATTTATGTTGGGCCAATATAGACCACCCTTACTCTCCTTTTGTATTTTTCACTGTCTAGATGCCCCTCATGTGTTCTGTTTTACATTCTTTCTTTAGCACTACTGAAACAAGTCACGAGCCTTTGAACAAAATGCCATCTAGTACTGCCAGCTCTTCCTTGAGCTGAGAGTAGGGCCTAGGTATATGTTTTCCAGGCCAACCAGAACAAATAGCTATTATCACTTTTACAATGTGATGTCCTATACAGTAGTTTCTGCAATTAGTACCCACATTTTCTGTGACAGGAATCACTCTTTTAATGAAATTAACATGTATTATGTCTGAGTCTGGAATTCCGTCCATTTCTGTTGTGTTATATGCTCTGGACAAAGTATCTGCAATAAGTAGATGTTTTCCTGGCATGTACTCTATGTCTAGAGCATGCATTTGCAGTTGAAAGAAAAGTATCTGTAATCTGGGTGGCATGTCTGATAACCCTCTCTTTGCTATAGTTGCCAGAAAGTTAAGATCAGTTTCAGCTATCACAGGCTTCCCATAGATGAATATATGACATTTCTTACAGCCATATGCCAGGGCTAAACTTTCTTTCTCAATTTGTGCATACTGACACTGACTTAGAGAGTGCCCTAGATGCATATGCTACTGGTCTCCAGTTATCCCCGTGTTTTTCATAGAGTCATAGATGTTTGGGTCAGAAAGGACCTCAGTAGATCATCGAATCCAACCCCCTGCCCTCAGCAGGAAAGAGCGCTGGGGTCAGATGCCCCCAGCCAGGTGCATGTCTAGCCTCTTCTTAAAGACCCCCAAAGTAGGGGAGAACACCACCTTCCTTGGAAGCCCGTTCCAGATTCTGGCAACCTTTGC